TCCCCGGCGTTTATTAGATCGTACCAGAAGGCACATGTCAGTGCTCCACACTTTTATCTCAAACCCTTCTAGAAAATCCAGCAACAGCCATTTTACGCTAACTGAAGAACAATCCATCYATCATTACACTTTTGTTTCATTCCTTTTTGTCACATCTAAATTTTTCGCATCCATTTTCCCATGTTTGCTCCAAAAAGACTTAATCGGTGTTCTATTGTTACTTTCTTTTATTTAGTSACTCCAACGGTTAAGTCTGTCAGTAATATTCCATACGTGGCCCGTGGCTTGGGCATGAATGCYCCTAAAATGAAGCATTCATCGAAGGAACTCCAACAAGCCAAACAACAGATTGCTAAAGCAAAAGGGAAGAAGTCTAGCGGTACGGGAGTTGGGCCGTCTGCAAGCAAGAAACATGTTCCCCTGGAAACCAGGCAGGAACTGAACAGGTAATGGTTTTCTTCCCTTCCACCCTCAATTAGCTAAAGTGTCATCGTCGCGTAGGAAGAAGATTCATTTGCCCTTGAGGCATCCATACTGCATTGCCTATGGGGGGATTTTCAGCAAATATACATTTCCTGCCCAATGTGAAACGGTCAAACCTTTTTAACGTTCAAGTCTTTCATAGAAGCCACTCTACCTTGAGATTCGTTTTAATATTACCAATTTTGACCCCTAAAAGTTTCCGATTCCTTGTCTTACAGAATTGGAGTTTGTAGAAAATTAATCGATCATCTTATCAGCAAAATTGAACGAAGCGAAGAACAAGAAAGAAACAAAGAAAGTAAACGTAAAGCCGTCGCTCAAAAACAACAAAGAGCGAAAGCTAACAAACTGGACGGAATACTTTATAAGAGAAAAGAATTGCTTAAGAAAGAGGTAGGATAACGATATGTAAAGTTTCAAGGTTCAAGCCTTCTTCAGTTGCCCTTTTCTGAAATAGTATTACGCAATGGATTGTGGTCTAGATTCGGTGCAAACGTGCGGCCAAATATGGAGCTCTTTGTACTGAATCTAGACCAAAATGCAACATGATTTTGCTTATTCTAATGCTAACGATTGTACGCAAATTTTCATGCTTTGTAGATAATTCGCAAGCGTGCCGTCCTTGAGAAGGAACTTACTCTAGAATTAAGCAAAGAATCAAAGAAGGAAACACCGACAAAGAAGAGGAAGCGAGAAAGTTCATTTGGATCCGTGGGCGACGTATTACACGATAAGAAACAGAAGGCAGCAGAGGAAGTTTATTGCATCTGCAGAAAGCCATACGACCCCACCATGTTAGTACTGAAATAATAATATGGTATTATACTAATTTGGTGCTGAAACAATGGAAGTTATTCTATTTTTTTTAGCTTTCTAGCATCCAGAGTAGATGAATCAAAACATTTTAATCGTTTTGTAGGTTTTATATCGGATGTGATCTGTGTGCAAACTGGTTTCACGGTGAATGTGTTGGAGTGACACCTGAAAGCGCTGAAGCTATGGAGCAGTTTACATGTTCTGAGTGCAGCAAAGCACAGCAAGGTGTAGAAACAGAGGAGCTTTATTGTTTGTGTAGACAACCTTACGATGAAGCCAAGTAAGTCAATTTTTGCAGTCTTCTACCTTGCTTTTTGATTTCTTTGCTTTAAGTGTCACTCTAGTCTTCGTATCAACCTGTCAGCTTTCCTCCCACATCCTAGAATGAACCTTCGTCTTCCTAAATCTTTCTTTATAAGTTTTATATTGGCTGCAATGCTGCCATGCAGTGACTGATTYCATATCATTGCCAGTCCGAATACAGTCAACTCTCGCTATTACGGACACCCTCGGGACCGTAATTTAGTGTCCGCAGTAGCGAGGGTCCGTATAGTAACGAGACTTACTTTAATAGGTCATTTCTTTGTATTTTTCGCCGGGGATTCAGTATTTTACTGTCCGCAGTATCGAGGCCGTGTCCGTTGTAGCGGGTAGACCGTAAGGCGAGAGTTGACTGTATATACTTTTCCTGTATTTGCAGGTTTTATATTGGCTGTGATACCTGCCATGACTGGTTTCATGGTAGCTGTGTTGGAATCACCGAAGGCGAGGCAGAAATGTTGGATTCATACTTCTGCCCACGATGCAAAGAAAGCCAGTCAAGCAGAGATGTGCAACCGCTGAGCAACAAGGACTACGACTCGCTGAAACGCCTCCTGAGGTCTTTACAAAGTCACAAAATGGCTTGGCCTTTCCTTGAGCCAGTCAGTGCTGACGATGTGCCAGGATATTATGACATTATCAAGGAGCCTATGGGTAAGGTTGCTTATTAATTACTTTTATCAGGACTACAGTCCACCATACAAGACTTTATATTTGAAATAGCATGGAGATAGTAAGAAAAGAGTTGTAGAAAACTGATGACACAATGTGCGCGCCTCTATTGTTGCGACCGCTATATTGTATTGGAGTCGGACAAGAATAAGATGGCCGTGGAGACGAAGTTAAACGAAAAACCTCGTTCGGGCTTAGTAGTAATAACAAAACCATACAAAACCATTGTTGTGACTTATTCAATTTCCTCCTATTCATGAATTTATTGATGTTGTTTTGTGTTTTTCAGATCTCTCCAAGGTCGAAGACCGACTTTCTACCAAGCACTACCACACAGTAGAACAGTTTAATGCTGACATCACAACAATGTTTGACAACTGTCGGTTTTTTAACCCGAAAGAATCGCCATACTACCGCTGTGCCGAAGTGCTGGAGGGATTCTTTGTCAAGAAGTTACGCGCATGGCAGAAGAAGGCTTGAATCGCGACCTTGTGATTAAAAAAAAACTACCTTTTATGTCATTATACGCCGAATTTGTGGTCACTGCCGGTGCTCTATTTTTTGCAAATATCAATAACAGTAAGTCCATGAAAAGCAGAGTAAAAGACAGTAATTTGTAAAAAAAATTCGATCCACTGCTGTTTAGTAACAAGTAGTGCTACCTACTGTATGAAGCTTGCTTCGAATATTCTTCGGACGAGCCTTTAGCACAATGTTCAGTCGCAACTAGCAATGAATCATGGACATCTGAACCGAGTTTTATTTGGAATATTAGTTAATCGTAAGAAACGAAATTTCAGAAGAAATATAAGGATGAATGACCTAGCATTTCCGTACAATTCTTACGTTTTGAAATCTTCAAGTGCAAAAGAACTCAGTCTGAGGTCGACCTTTCTTCAGCAGTCATTAACGGTAACGAAAATGAAACAGCAGAACAGAAAAGTTTTGTTTCACATATTTTTGCTAAGATGAAGACCTTTCCCGAAAAAAAGAAAAAAAAATAGTTGAATGAAGTGAGAGTCAAGTGAGCGCTGGCGGTTCTATTATATCGTCTGAAAGTATTGTCAGTAACGATGAATGTGCAATATGCACGTTTGAATGCTTGTAAAGATCATGATGTAGAAATAGCATTGGTTTATTGCATATATAGAAACGTTGTGTACAAATTATTGACTTATAATAAATTATTGGAGCCATTAACGATCTTGTATATTAACTTTTTAGTGATGTTTTTAAAAAAAGGGAAACCGTTTAAAATCGACTCTAAACTAGTCTTATCACCATAGAACAACAAACAACAATTATAGCTACTTCAATTTTTGCTAGTTCAAGATCCATTGTCCTTCTAAAATAATCCTTGTAATTGTCGGGCTGTGAATCTAAGCATCATGCTCTTTTGGTTTGGCTGACCAAGAACTCCTGCATATTCAAGAAGCCTTGTTTGAAGTCAAATAACCAAAGTACGTATATATATTCCGTGTCCATGAGCGACTTCGGCTTCCGTACACTGTATATAACTTTAACACGAAAAGCAACATTTCCTATACTTGTTGTATTTTACAAAAGGCCTTCCATTTCCTTCATAAACATGGCGTACGCATCGTCTTTAGTTGCCTGCCCTTCAATCTTTTGTTCTTGTTGTCGTGGATGATGTGACGGTACAGTTTCAAATGTCTCGCCAGCTTTTCCTTTGGCTTTAGCTTTAGGCGCTTCGCGTTTGATTCTGAGAGAAGTGGGCACGAGTTTGGTAAGTTCTGCCTGAGTATTTCGTATTTGCGGCTTGGCTGATATGACTGGGCCTGCCTTTTTCTTGAGAATTCCTATGACAAATAATTTATCAATATACAATTAATTACTGATGAAACACAAGTAGACAAAAAGACCAACAACTGACCTGCTGGGGTGTCCCCACCATGATGTGCAGTAGGAGGCTTACTAATAACAGATGGAGGCGCAGACAGCACTGACCCTTGCATCATGTGTCCTGGGGGTGGGCCTGGAGGACGCATCCTCGGAGGTGGACCTGGAGGCATCATTGGCTGCTGCATGAGGGGCCTGGGTCCTCTCCCCATGACCTGTGCTGCCATATTTGGGGGCATTCCAGGAGGAGGACCTGGAGGCATCCCAGGAGGCATTCCTGGCGGCATTCCCCCTGGCATACCTGGGGGTGGTCCTGGTGGTCGGCCTGGTGGAGGTCCCGGGGGAAACATGCGAGGTGGGTTCTCCATCATACTTGGTGGCGGAGGTCGAATTTGAGAGTTTGGCTGCACTGGAGGACCAGGAGGAGGCATGCCTCGGGGTGGCATTCCTGGTGGTCCAGGTGGTGTTGGACGTTGTTCTGATGTCTGTAAAAATGAAAACCTTGCTCAAACAAATTAAGAATGCAATTACTCCTGCTCTCCTTCAAACTGATCTCCCATTCCCTATGCATTAAAACAGTAAAACCAACCTTTTCCTTGCTTGCTTGGCCTGCAATCTTCAGTAGAGCTCTTTGTACAGCAGACGTTGGATCATCTGGGTCAGCAGTATTATCGGCATTCTCTTCATCTTCAAATCTGACTGATCGTTTCTCTATTTTATGTATAATAAAGAGCTTTAATCAATATAGCAATGTGGTATTTCTGTCATAATGTACCAGCTTACCTTTTCCATCATCCTTGGTGAAATCTTGAGTGTCCATTGTACTGTAATCTCCTAAACGCATCTCTTTTTGATAATCATCTTCATCAAGACCAGACTCACTTGTTCCACTATCGCTATCATAGCCCTTTTCATCACCTTCTTCCTGTACACCTGGGGCTTCTGATTCACTAACTCCAGGAGGGTGCAGTGGCTTGGATTTGTCTGCAGTTGAGGGTGTAGATGATGGGACTGGCGGCTCCCCAGGGGGTGGCCCTGGTGGAATAAGTCCAGGTGGTAATGTCCTAATAAGAAAGTATAAAACTTTTTTATCTTTTCATATTTCTAGTTATTACAAAAAGACCATGTACACCTACTGTTGGCCTGGTAGTGGTCCAGGTAGAGGAATATCACTTGGCATCAACATCCCTACAGTAACATTAATGAAAACGTTGTCTAAACATCACCTGACAGACTGTTACTAAGCTAAATGTAGTCTGAAAAACTCTCATAAAGTGAAATATCAAATTCTAGAAATAGAAACAGTCAAGTGACACTATACGCATACCTGAATGTGGAAGAGGGATATTTGTTGGTAGTGGAATGTTTGCAAAATGTTCAGCCTACAAAGAGAGACAACTACAGATAAAAATGGAGATACTTAATCACATTCTAGAATACTGAATTCAAGACTGCATAATCCCCACAGGGATGTGTTCCAGGACGTCTCTTACCTCTAGCTTTGCATGCATGGATTCTAGTGGAAGATAAAATAGAATAAAAGTCAGTAACTTAACAGAATATTATTAGAAACCAGACTATAGTACAATTTTTTTGTTGTTGCGCATACCATAAGCTTCTATTTGGGCATGTACTCTTCTCTGTTCACTGTCAGAAAGCAACCTAAAGTAATAAATAAACATTTTAAAAATCTCTGAGTAAAGATATTGGGGAGATCAATATATTTGTTTTAAAATTATCGTCAGCATGGTGTTTTTTTGCTTACTTTTGTATTTCTCCAGCCTTTCTAGGATCACTTTTTTCCTAAAGGAAAGAATATGAAAAAAATATTGTTACAAAATAAGCCAAAAACAAATAAAATGACAGCCCTCTTTTGAAGAGAAGTTGGTAATAAACTTATGCATTTGATGTGTATTTGATACCTGTCTGAGCATGCAAAATTACTATACTGTCATGAGCAGATTGAAATAAGGATAAGTTATAGTGATAGGATACAACCTAACCTATGCAATGTGAACTTTGTTATGAATTCTTCCATCACAAATGGGATCCCTGTGTTGCCTCACAACCATTACACAGGCACAGGGAACCAAAAATAACTTAACCAGATAACCCACAAGTCTAACAAGTATATTAATTTTCTTACAAATAATTTCTGCAATCTTTCTAGAGTTTCTCTTAGTTTCTTCTTCTTGTCCTTTAGAGCTTTGTCATTGGGAAGAGGTTCTACACCAGCATCAAGTTCTAAATAATATAAAAACATCAGTCAATCATAAGTATAATGAGTAATAAAGCCACTCCATATCTCTTACCAACTGACTCAATCTTTTCTATCTCATCTAAAATTCTTTTTGGATCTTTAGTTTTCAAGACAGCTTCTCTAACCATTTTCCGTTGTTTCTTGTTCTGTCCAAAGAAATAAGTGAATAAATTATGGATGTATAATGCATTTTTATGGCGTTCGTGTAATTATAATTCAAAGTTCTTTAAAAAAGCTTTATATATATAGCTGGTGGTAAGTAGAGAGAAATGATAGCTGGAAAAAAAGTTTCTTAAACTCAGATCCCCTTTAATAACTAATATTGTAAAATGTATAATTGACTGCTATTCCTGATGCTGATTTGCAGTTTATTGGATGCAAATTAATTAAGACCTCAATGGTATGAGGTACTAAAATGTTGGCTTATAAGACAAAACAAACCTTTTTCAGCTCTCTTTTCCTCGCCTCTTTCCCTATTTGGCAAAATCACAACACACATAAATACACACAGGTAACCCATAAGCTTGACTGCTTAACGATGCAACTTTGATAACATACTGTTACAAAATCCTGTGTATCACATTGCAATATTATCAATATATCCATGAAGCTTAACAAAAAGAATTGAAAACATCAAATTTCAATGAGCTATAAATACAAATTGAGCATATYTCTGCAGACAAATCATTCTCCTGTTCTCGCGTGCTATAGACGGGATAAAACACTTACTTGCTTGGTCTGTGGGGTTCATAAACTTGCCACTTTTAGTGGTATACGTAGATCGACGCCCCATGATGAGTACTGAGGAATTATTCTCGCTAGAACGCGAGAAATCTGATAAAAAACGAAAGCTTTAAAACAGGCACTCACATTCAATTAAACAACATGGCGGCGAGAACAGGCTAAGTAACCGGGCCGCGTATTAGCTTGGTAGCCACTCTCTACTAAGTAAACAAAAGAGCAAGAGCATGTAAAGGAATTCAAAAACAGATCTATTTTTTCGGCTTTCTTTTGGTCTTATATCAAACAATGCAGCTATGATTTTATAAAGAAATACTTGCTTTTAAGTTATCGGCCATGGACTTCGCGTAATTTAGCATTTTGCCTCGTCAACGASCTAAGACCTTTATGTAAATTTGGAGCAGCTGGTGTTGTGCAACACCCTTCAAAGAAAGAACATGGCTTCWGATGTGCTTTCAGATAGCCATTCCTATGGATTAGATCTAGATCGATTCGACAACAGGCCATCAGTCGCCGCATCAGGAATAGTGGATTTAAARTCAGCAATCAAGGCGGGATACCTGTGGAAATTGTCTTCAACAAAATCAAGTTATTATGTGTTAACAAAGAGCTCACTAGACCACTACAAAAATAGACACTGTGTATGTTTGTTATATTGTTATTACTTGTGCCCCCTGAAGGTGGATCTATAGAATRCCAGACCAATATAGACATTCACTACAAGTTTGGGTTTAACCCAACAACAAACTTTATTCGCATGACTTGCCTTATTTACAAGTATTGCTAAAGTTATTTAAATAATAATATAAGATAAATGATTTCAATAATCATAATTTCAATTAAAAGAAAAAAACAGAGAGGCTATGAGCTATGATACAGTCCATAGCTCACCATATGATTACATATCATGACATTCTTGTAATGGAGATTTTTTCTAGTTTTGGCTATTTGTATTGCATGCGGTTTTAGGGTCTAAAATCTCAACCATATCTTCCCCTCCCTCGGCCCTGACACTTATAATACATATCGTAAACAGACATCTCAAATTCATTTTAGGACAAACTTAAGGGTAGTGTTCCACTRGTAGCCTTGGAAAACATAGAGATTGGTTCACCTAACAACAGATCTTTTCAAATCAATGGACAGTTTACRAACCCTATTATACTGCAAGCTCCTTCTAGGGACGAAGCCCAGGAATGGAAAAAAGCTATTGAGGAAGGTAAATATTTTAACAATTGTTGGTGTGTTTTGGATCAAAGAACGTGGTAAGATGTGACCCAAAGGCTCTGTGRGAAATTGCATTGTAATWCSCTTAATKCYCAGTCAGACATATTATAATATAYTGWACATTTTCCTCATCCAGGMATTCAGCACTGGAGACTTGAYTCTGTCCAAGACAAYGGCTCAGTGTCACAAGAAAATGAGCTGAATAACCAAGAAAAGGAGGCCATTGAAATTCCATCAACTTTGGTAATTTCTTCATTTCCAGCATGATTATGAATTATGGAAAAACATAATTAAGAGTTTAACAAATATTCATTTTGTTTCAATTCTTTTTAGATGTTGTCATATCCATCATTAAAAGGACAAGCAGACAAGCAGTCACCGACATCAGACTTAGTTGTTTTCTCTGGTAAGATCTGAAAAGATGTCTCTTCAATGCATAGAGAGGGAGGGTTAATAGGTGAAGATACTGTTGAAAGTTTAATATCCATAGGCTTGTATAATATAGACAACTAACATTTCTGTTAGTTAGTATATTGACTATTCTTGAAATTCCAGTATAGGCGAGATAATAATCTACAGTCAACTCTCGGACACCCCGCTATTTCATACATCTCGATATTACGGACAAGGAACACTGAATCCCTGGCAAAAATTGCAAAGAAATGACTTAAAGTAACTCCTGTTAGTGTGGACTCTTGCTTCTGCGGACACCAATTAAATTAAATGATTAATAATTAAATAATTAAATTATGGTCCCGAGGGTGTCCGTAATAGCAAGTTGACTGTATGTGTAATTGATTGAAGGTATTCAAGCTTGTTCTGGGTTTTTGAAAATAGTCAATACTTTTATTATTTTAGCTGCAAGTGAAGTCCATCATGAGTTTGCAATGATCAAGTATGCCAGGGCAGGGAAAGCCATTCCACATGAAAAAGTTGTGAAGCTTGATAATGATAACTTGGTAAGAGGCCTAATCATTCATAATAATAACAATACTTTGGTTTTAACAATTTCATAATGTTTTAACTACATCAATAGCACATCATGTGGAAGAAGAGAGGGAATTTGCACAACTTTTCCTATCGGAATACATGTAAGTTCACCAGTTTTAATCATGATCTATTAAATTTAGCTTACCAATGATATTTATCACAGTGTCTCTGGATAAAGTTGTRGAAGTGAGATGCGGTCAACAAACCAAGAACTTTATCAAGTTTCCTTACTCAGAAGTAGAGAGTCAATCATTTTCCCTAATATTTGAGAAAGACCAAGGTAGCTGGAACTTTACCAATTAACTTATTATATTTACAATTCATGTTAAGGTATTGTTGACATTCTTCTTCTTGCAGGGGAATGGGGACAGCTTGTATCATTAGACTTGATATGTGACTCACTAAAAGCTTTYAATAAATGGAAAAATGCTGTAAGTAACTTGTACCAAGATTGTCTTGTTAGATGTCAGATTGAGCTACCTGTATATATCAGGCCATGAACAATGAGGCCCTGGACTATAGCTGCTCTCTAGCTTTAAACACCTTGAATCTAACCATATTGAAACAATACCTTTTAAATCTAACACAGTTAAGTGAAATTATTTACTGCAAAGATTCAAGATTAAATAGACAAAAATACAGAGGCATTGATCCAGTGGTTTTGTATCCTTGACACATTATATGC